TTTGTTGCTTGTGTTTTTAGTCTTTATTTGCAGCAGGAATTAGTTGAGGCGGCCATGTTGTAAGATTGGTAAGTACATATTTGTTTTCATCGTTTACTTGCATATTTATTATATTAAGTATCATTAAAAGTTGTCGGCAGGAGTAGTTCGACTGCATGTATTGCGGTGATTTATTTATTGGAGTAGTTCAACTGCATGTATTGCGATGATTTATTTTATTGGATCGTAGAATTATTTGTGTTCGCGCGCGGTATTTGTTAAATTTGTGCTAGCGTAGCTTGCGCGTCAATTTATCTTTGAGTAGGGTTGCTTACTTTATCATTATCGAGTTTTAGTATTTTGTACAATTTTATCGTTATCGAATTTTAAACATTTTGTGTATTTTCAGCTTTGTTCTTATTTGGTGGTTGGATTCGTTTGGTAAGTAGTTTCAATTTATTAGGATTCAGGAATTAATTATTGTTTGGTGAGTACTGTGTTATAGTTTAAAGTTGTTTATATTGTTTCAATGTAATTTGTTTCATTGCAGGTGGCACCAGAGAGGACAGCCAAGTTGATGATGGATGGGTAAGTATGTGCTTATATATGTAGCAAAAGGACTGGCTTTATTATTATAAATCTTTTTATTTCCAGATAAGACGTGGAAAGTTACCAAGTCTGATTTTATAGTATATAAATAGGTTATTTGTTATTCTTAGGTTATTGTTTTGTTTGTAGAATTGTCATTAGTTTATTGTTTTGCTTGTTTCCCTTAGTCTGAGTTATTGTTTGTTTAGACTTTGTTTCATTTAGTGAATTTTAGTCTTTTAGGAATATTTGTCTTGTTATTTAGTGTAGTAGTTTAAGTTTAAGATTGCATTTGCCTGGGGTAATTTGAGTTTTAATATATGGCGCAGAGTATTTGTTTCCTTTGTGGCTATCGAATTTTGACAAATAGCGTACTTTAGGATGTGTTCGTACTAGGTGTTTATGTTTGGATTATATTAAGTTTATTTATTATACGCAGGTAGCTAAGTTGTTATTTAATAGGTCTTTTATAATTTATATATTTTTATTTTTATTTTATTTTATTTGTTTATTTATTTTATTTATTTATTCTTATTTTTTGTGAGCAATACGTGCGAGGGTGGGTATCAAAGTTGCTTCCTTTTGTTTCTTGTTGAAGATTACTGCTTTGTCAGCTTCTTTTCCTTGCTTAGACTTGTCTTGTCTTCAGTATTAGCGTTTGATTTAGTGTTTGGTTGTTATGTGCTATATATATTTATTGTTTGATTTTTATTTTTATTTTTTTATCTGATTGTTGTTTTATTAGTTATATTATTATTATTAGTTAGTTATAGTGTAATTACTAGTTAGTTGTATTGTATTATATTATTAGATATTTAGAATTGCATTAATATGTTGGGGATGTCAAATAGTTTACCAGTTTTTATCGTTTAGGAGGCTTGTAGTTTGTATTTGTGAGGAATATTGTATAATATTGTTATTATTAGTTAGTTATAGTGAAATTATGTTATTCTAGTTATTTTTTTTATTTTTGTTTATTTATTTATTTTTATTTTTTTTTTTTTTTTTTGTTTTAGTTTAGGTTTTGCAGCGAGCAGCTTGTTGATTGTAAGTATAAATTTGACTATTTATGATTTAGGGGCTTGTAGATTGTAGATGTGAGGATTATTGTATACTTTTGTTTTTATAAGTTAGCTATAGCGAATTATGTTATTTGTTTGCTGCAGGTATATTATTTCACTAGATAGTTGTAGGTGTGCGGGCAAGTTGCAGAGCATTTGTTTATTTTCCTTATTAGAGTATAATTTCATAGCTTCCCAGTTTTGTTCAATTATTACTGTTGCCTAATCTAGTTATTTTTTTTTTTTATTTATTTTTTTTTTATTTTTATTTATTTTTATTTATTTATTTATTTGTTTTGTTTTTGTTTTAGTTTAGGTTTTGCCGCAAGCAGCTTGTTGATTGTAAGTATTAATTTGTCTATTTTGTATCTTTAATTCAGCAGTAAAATTTTAATGAGTTGTATCTTTCAGATAGCGCTTGAAGATGCCACTGTCTAGTACTTGTATTAAGTGTTCTTGTTTGATTAATGAGAGTATAAACTGCTTACGAAGCTTGTGTGTGGGTAAGCGTTTTGATGGCCTTATTAGAGTATAATTTCATAGCTTCCCAGTATTGTTCAATTATTACTGTTGCCTAATCTAGTTATTTTTTTTTTTTATTTTATTTATTTTTTTTTTTTTTTTTTTTTTTTTTTTTTTTTTTATTTATTTTATTTATTTTTATTTATTTATCTATATATTGTTTTGTTTTGTTTTAGTTTAGGTTTTGCAGCAAGCAGCTTGTTGGTTGTAAGTATTAATTTGTCTATTTTGTGTCCTTAATTCAGCAGTAAAATTTTAATGAGTTGTATCTTTCAGATAGCGCTTGAAGATGACACTGTCTGGTACTTGTATAAAGTGTTCGTGATTTATTAATGAGAGTATAAACTTTTTCAGCCTGCATGCGAGGGAATCACATACACAATTGCCCTGCTTTTTCTCGCCTCAAGCTTTAGGCTGCCCAGCAGCGTAAAGGTGAGAGAAGAGGGAACAGGGTGTCTTTATTCATTTCTCAGTGCTTTGCGTTAGTACTTTCTAGAAATTAGTTGGCAGCTTATTTACAATTCACTTATGTGGTAAGTATTATAAGCTAGTAGTAGGCGAAACTTAATATAAGTGTTTATTAATAAAGTTTGAATTTTACAAATAATTGAGTGTTTTCTTTTTTATATACATATATATATCTATCTAGTAAAGTTGTAGTTATTTATACAGATTTAATTTGGTGGGGAAGAGTAAAGACTAAGTCAGATTTTCTTCGTTAAATTCAATTTAGATTACTATTCTTTAAATTCAATTTGGATTACTATTCTTTAAATTTAATTTGGATTACTATTCTTAAATATAATTACATTTAGCTGGTTTGTTAGTTGTATTGTTGATTTGATAACTCTAGGGGCGTCATCAGTCGCTGTCATCCAGTCTTCAGTGGCCCGGAGGGGAAGACAGAAGAAGGCGCTGCTGTCGATGCTCTTATTTGTAGCTATGTCCAGGTTGTAAGTACTCCGTGGATCCAGGAGAGAGGCTAGTCTGAGACTTGCTATTTATTCATAGGCACCCTTTATTTTCTGGCTTTTGCTTACTTTGTTTCTTTCCATAGTGTTCGTCTTTATTTAGAATTTCTTATATCGTGATTGTTTATTTATTTGCTTTGCTTGATTTTTTTTTGAGATTTTTATTTATTGTTGGTTTTATTAGTAAGAATATTAATTTATTATTAGCTTGCTATGGGCTTTAACTTTGTTTATATTTAAGTTTTTGGATTTATTATTATTATTTATTTATTTTTTGTTTGTTAGATTTGACTGCAAGATTCACTCAGTAGCGTGTATAGCGAGGTGGGTATATTATTGAAATATCGTGTATTAGTTATAAGTTTATTTATTTGTTTTGTCTATCCATTTTAACATTTGTTTTATTTATTAATTTATTGTTAAGTGTTTTTATTATTTGCTTTGTTAAATCGATTATTTATTTATAATTATGGTTGTTTAGCGTATTTATTTTGTTTTTACTTAGGGTTTTGCACTTTTATTAGAAAGTTTTGTTGCGAGTGTTGCATATGTAATTAGAAGTTTAGCCCGTTTTGTTTTGTTGCTTGTGTTTTTAGTCTTTATTTGCAGCAGGAATTAGTTGAGGCGGCCATGTTGTAAGATTGGTAAGTACATATTTGTTTTCATCGTTTACTTGCATATTTATTATATTAAGTATCATTAAAAGTTGTCGGCAGGAGTAGTTCAACTGCATGTATTGCGGTGATTTATTTATTGGAGTAGTTCAACTGCATGTATTGCGATGATTTATTTTATTGGATCGTAGAATTATTTGTGTTCGCGCGCGGTATTTGTTAAATTTGTGCTAGCGTAGCTTGCGCGTCAATTTATCTTTGAGTAGGGTTGCTTACTTTATCATTATCGAGTTTTAGTATTTTGTACAATTTTATCGTTATCGAATTTTAAACATTTTGTGTATTTTCAGCTTTGTTCTTATTTGGTGGTTGGATTCGTTTGGTAAGTAGTTTCAATTTATTAGGATTCAGGAATTAATTATTGTTTGGTGAGTACTGTGTTATAGTTTAAAGTTGTTTATATTGTTTCAATGTAATTTGTTTCATTGCAGGTGGCACCAGAGAGGACAGCCAAGTTGATGATGGATGGGTAAGTATGTGCTTATATATGTAGCAAAAGGACTGGCTTTATTATTATAAATCTTTTTATTTCCAGATAAGACGTGGAAAGTTACCAAGTCTGATTTTATAGTATATAAATAGGTTATTTGTTATTCTTAGGTTATTGTTTTGTTTGTAGAATTGTCATTAGTTTATTGTTTTGCTTGTTTCCCTTAGTCTGAGTTATTGTTTGTTTAGACTTTGTTTCATTTAGTGAATTTTAGTCTTTTAGGAATATTTGTCTTGTTATTTAGTGTAGTAGTTTAAGTTTAAGATTGCATTTGCCTGGGGTAATTTGAGTTTTAATATATGGCGCAGAGTATTTGTTTCCTTTGTGGCTATCGAATTTTGACAAATAGCGTACTTTAGGATGTGTTCGTACTAGGTGTTTATGTTTGGATTATATTAAGTTTATTTATTATACGCAGGTAGCTAAGTTGTTATTTAATAGGTCTTTTATAATTTATATATTTTTATTTTTATTTTATTTTATTTGTTTATTTATTTTATTTATTTATTCTTATTTTTTGTGAGCAATACGTGCGAGGGTGGGTATCAAAGTTGCTTCCTTTTGTTTCTTGTTGAAGATTACTGCTTTGTCAGCTTCTTTTCCTTGCTTAGACTTGTCTTGTCTTCAGTATTAGCGTTTGATTTAGTGTTTGGTTGTTATGTGCTATATATATTTATTGTTTGATTTTTATTTTTATTTTTTTATCTGATTGTTGTTTTATTAGTTATATTATTATTATTAGTTAGTTATAGTGTAATTACTAGTTAGTTGTATTGTATTATATTATTAGATATTTAGAATTGCATTAATATGTTGGGGATGTCAAATAGTTTACCAGTTTTTATCGTTTAGGAGGCTTGTAGTTTGTATTTGTGAGGAATATTGTATAATATTGTTATTATTAGTTAGTTATAGTGAAATTATGTTATTCTAGTTATTTTTTTTATTTTTGTTTATTTATTTATTTTTATTTTTTTTTTTTTTTGTTTTTAGTTTAGGTTTTGCAGCGAGCAGCTTGTTGATTGTAAGTATAAATTTGACTATTTATGATTTAGGGGCTTGTAGATTGTAGATGTGAGGATTATTGTATACTTTTGTTTTTATAAGTTAGCTATAGTGAATTATGTTATTTGTTTGCTGCAGGTATATTATTTCACTAGATAGTTGTAGGTGTGCGGGCAAGTTGCAGAGCATTTGTTTATTTTCCTTATTAGAGTATAATTTCATAGCTTCCCAGTTTTGTTCAATTATTACTGTTGCCTAATCTAGTTATTTTTTTTTTTATTTTATTTATTTATTTTTTTATTTTTTTTTTATTTTTATTTTTATTTATTTATTTATTTGTTTTGTTTTTGTTTTAGTTTAGGTTTTTGCCGCAAGCAGCTTGTTGATTGTAAGTATTAATTTGTCTATTTTGTATCTTTAATTCAGCAGTAAAATTTTAATGAGTTGTATCTTTCAGATAGCGCTTGAAGATGCCACTGTCTAGGTACTTGTATTAAGTGTTCTTGTTTATTAATGAAATGAGTATAAACTTTTTCAGCCTGCATGCGAGGGAATCACATACACAATTGCCCTGCTTTTTCTCGCCTCAAGCTTTAGGCTGCCCAGCAGCGTAAAGGTGAGAGAAGAGGGAACAGGGTGTCTTTATTCATTTCTCAGTGCTTTGCGTTAGTACTTTCTAGAAATTAGTTGGCAGCTTATTTACAATTCACTTATGTGGTAAGTATTATAAGCTAGTAGTAGGCGAAACTTAATATAAGTGTTTATTAATAAAGTTTGAATTTTACAAATAATTGAGTGTTTTCTTTTTTATATACATATATATATCTATCTAGTAAAGTTGTAGTTATTTATACAGATTTAATTTGGTGGGGAAGAGTAAAGACTAAGTCAGATTTTCTTCGTTAAATTCAATTTAGATTACTATTCTTTAAATTCAATTTGGATTACTATTCTTTAAATTTAATTTGGATTACTATTCTTAAATATAATTACATTTAGCTGGTTTGTTAGTTGTATTGTTGATTTGATAACTCTAGGGGCGTCATCAGTCGCTGTCATCCAGTCTTCAGTGGCCCGGAGGGGAAGACAGAAGAAGGCGCTGCTGTCGATGCTCTTATTTGTAGCTATGTCCAGGTTGTAAGTACTCCGTGGATCCAGGAGAGAGGCTAGTCTGAGACTTGCTATTTATTCATAGGCACCCTTTATTTTCTGGCTTTTGCTTACTTTGTTTCTTTCCATAGTGTTCGTCTTTATTTAGAATTTCTTATATCGTGATTGTTTATTTATTTGCTTTGCTTGATTTTTTTTTTGAGATTTTTATTTATTGTTGGTTTTATTAGTAAGAATATTAATTTATTATTAGCTTGCTATGGGCTTTAACTTTGTTTATATTTAAGTTTTTGGATTTATTATTATTATTTATTTATTTTTTGTTTGTTAGATTTGACTGCAAGATTCACTCAGTAGCGTGTATAGCGAGGTGGGTATATTATTGAAATATCGTGTATTAGTTATAAGTTTATTTATTTGTTTTGTCTATCCATTTTAACATTTGTTTTATTTATTAATTTATTGTTAAGTGTTTTTATTATTTGCTTTGTTAAATCGATTATTTATTTATAATTATGGTTGTTTAGCGTATTTATTTTGTTTTTACTTAGGGTTTTGCACTTTTATTAGAAAGTTTTGTTGCGAGTGTTGCATATGTAATTAGAAGTTTAGCCCGTTTTGTTTTGTTGCTTGTGTTTTTAGTCTTTATTTGCAGCAGGAATTAGTTGAGGCGGCCATGTTGTAAGATTGGTAAGTACATATTTGTTTTCATCGTTTACTTGCATATTTATTATATTAAGTATCATTAAAAGTTGTCGGCAGGAGTAGTTCGACTGCATGTATTGCGGTGATTTATTTATTGGAGTAGTTCAACTGCATGTATTGCGATGATTTATTTTATTGGATCGTAGAATTATTTGTGTTCGCGCGCGGTATTTGTTAAATTTGTGCTAGCGTAGCTTGCGCGTCAATTTATCTTTGAGTAGGGTTGCTTACTTTATCATTATCGAGTTTTAGTATTTTGTACAATTTTATCGTTATCGAATTTTAAACATTTTGTGTATTTTCAGCTTTGTTCTTATTTGGTGGTTGGATTCGTTTGGTAAGTAGTTTCAATTTATTAGGATTCAGGAATTAATTATTGTTTGGTGAGTACTGTGTTATAGTTTAAAGTTGTTTATATTGTTTCAATGTAATTTGTTTCATTGCAGGTGGCACCAGAGAGGACAGCCAAGTTGATGATGGATGGGTAAGTATGTGCTTATATATGTAGCAAAAGGACTGGCTTTATTATTATAAATCTTTTTATTTCCAGATAAGACGTGGAAAGTTACCAAGTCTGATTTTATAGTATATAAATAGGTTATTTGTTATTCTTAGGTTATTGTTTTGTTTGTAGAATTGTCATTAGTTTATTGTTTTGCTTGTTTCCCTTAGTCTGAGTTATTGTTTGTTTAGACTTTGTTTCATTTAGTGAATTTTAGTCTTTTAGGAATATTTGTCTTGTTATTTAGTGTAGTAGTTTAAGTTTAAGATTGCATTTGCCTGGGGTAATTTGAGTTTTAATATATGGCGCAGAGTATTTGTTTCCTTTGTGGCTATCGAATTTTGACAAATAGCGTACTTTAGGGATGTGTTCGTACTAGGTGTTTATGTTTGGATTATATTAAGTTTATTTATTATACGCAGGTAGCTAAGTTGTTATTTAATAGGTCTTTTATAATTTATATATTTTTATTTTTATTTTATTTTATTTGTTTATTTATTTTATTTATTTATTCTTATTTTTTGTGAGCAATACGTGCGAGGGTGGGTATCAAAGTTGCTTCCTTTTGTTTCTTGTTGAAGATTACTGCTTTGTCAGCTTCTTTTCCTTGCTTAGACTTGTCTTGTCTTCAGTATTAGCGTTTGATTTAGTGTTTGGTTGTTATGTGCTATATATATTTATTGTTTGATTTTTATTTTTATTTTTTTATCTGATTGTTGTTTTATTAGTTATATTATTATTATTAGTTAGTTATAGTGTAATTACTAGTTAGTTGTATTGTATTATATTATTAGATATTTAGAATTGCATTAATATGTTGGGGATGTCAAATAGTTTACCAGTTTTTATCGTTTAGGAGGCTTGTAGTTTGTATTTGTGAGGAATATTGTATAATATTGTTATTATTAGTTAGTTATAGTGAAATTATGTTATTCTAGTTATTTTTTTTATTTTTGTTTATTTATTTATTTTTATTTTTTTTTTTTTGTTTTTTAGTTTAGGTTTTGCAGCGAGCAGCTTGTTGATTGTAAGTATAAATTTGACTATTTATGATTTAGGGGCTTGTAGATTGTAGATGTGAGGATTATTGTATACTTTTGTTTTTATAAGTTAGCTATAGCGAATTATGTTATTTGTTTGCTGCAGGTATATTATTTCACTAGATAGTTGTAGGTGTGCGGGCAAGTTGCAGAGCATTTGTTTATTTTCCTTATTAGAGTATAATTTCATAGCTTCCCAGTTTTGTTCAATTATTACTGTTGCCTAATCTAGTTATTTTTTTTTTTATTTATTTTTTTTTATTTTTATTTATTTTTATTTATTTATTTATTTGTTTTTGTTTTTGTTTTAGTTTAGGTTTTGCCGCAAGCAGCTTGTTGATTGTAAGTATTAATTTGTCTATTTTGTATCTTTAATTCAGCAGTAAAATTTTAATGAGTTGTATCTTTCAGATAGCGCTTGAAGATGCCACTGTCTAGTACTTGTATTAAGTGTTCTTGTTTGATTAATGAGAGTATAAACTGCTTACGAAGCTTGTGTGTGGGTAAAGCGTTTTGATGGCCTTATTAGAGTATAATTTCATAGCTTCCCAGTATTGTTCAATTATTACTGTTCTAACCTATTTTTTTTTTATTTATTTTATTTATTTTTTTTTTTTTTTTTTTTTTTTTGTTTTTATTTTTTTTTTATTTATTTTATTTATTTTTATTTATTTATCTATATATTGTTTTGTTTTGTTTTAGTTTAGGTTTTGCAGCAAGCAGCTTGTTGGTTGTAAGTATTAATTTGTCTATTTTGTGTCCTTAATTCAGCAGTAAAATTTTAATGAGTTGTATCTTTCAGATAGCGCTTGAAGATGACACTGTCTGGTACTTGTATAAAGTGTTCGTGATTTATTAATGATTAAACATTTTTCAGCCTGCATGCGAGGGAATCACATACACAATACAATGCCCTGCCTTTTTCTCGCCTCAAGCTTTAGGCTGCCCAGCAGCGTAAAGGTGAGAGAAGAGGGAACAGGGTGTCTTTATTCATTTCTCAGTGCTTTGCGTTAGTACTTTCTAGAAATTAGTTGGCAGCTTATTTACAATTCACTTATGTGGTAAGTATTATAAGCTAGTAGTAGGCGAAACTTAATATAAGTGTTTATTAATAAAGTTTGAATTTTACAAATAATTGAGTGTTTTCTTTTTTATATACATATATATATCTATCTAGTAAAGTTGTAGTTATTTATACAGATTTAATTTGGTGGGGAAGAGTAAAGACTAAGTCAGATTTTCTTCGTTAAATTCAATTTAGATTACTATTCTTTAAATTCAATTTGGATTACTATTCTTTAAATTTAATTTGGATTACTATTCTTAAATATAATTACATTTAGCTGGTTTGTTAGTTGTATTGTTGATTTGATAACTCTAGGGGCGTCATCAGTCGCTGTCATCCAGTCTTCAGTGGCCCGGAGGGGAAGACAGAAGAAGGCGCTGCTGTCGATGCTCTTATTTGTAGCTATGTCCAGGTTGTAAGTACTCCGTGGATCCAGGAGAGAGGCTAGTCTGAGACTTGCTATTTATTCATAGGCACCCTTTATTTTCTGGCTTTTGCTTACTTTGTTTCTTTCCATAGTGTTCGTCTTTATTTAGAATTTCTTATATCGTGATTGTTTATTTATTTGCTTTGCTTGATTTTTTTTTGAGATTTTTATTTATTGTTGGTTTTATTAGTAAGAATATTAATTTATTATTAGCTTGCTATGGGCTTTAACTTTGTTTATATTTAAGTTTTTGGATTTATTATTATTATTTATTTATTTTTTGTTTGTTAGATTTGACTGCAAGATTCACTCAGTAGCGTGTATAGCGAGGTGGGTATATTATTGAAATATCGTGTATTAGTTATAAGTTTATTTATTTGTTTTGTCTATCCATTTTAACATTTGTTTTATTTATTAATTTATTGTTAAGTGTTTTTATTATTTGCTTTGTTAAATCGATTATTTATTTATAATTATGGTTGTTTAGCGTATTTATTTTGTTTTTACTTAGGGTTTTGCACTTTTATTAGAAAGTTTTGTTGCGAGTGTTGCATATGTAATTAGAAGTTTAGCCCGTTTTGTTTTGTTGCTTGTGTTTTTAGTCTTTATTTGCAGCAGGAATTAGTTGAGGCGGCCATGTTGTAAGATTGGTAAGTACATATTTGTTTTCATCGTTTACTTGCATATTTATTATATTAAGTATCATTAAAAGTTGTCGGCAGGAGTAGTTCGACTGCATGTATTGCGGTGATTTATTTATTGGAGTAGTTCAACTGCATGTATTGCGATGATTTATTTTATTGGATCGTAGAATTATTTGTGTTCGCGCGCGGTATTTGTTAAATTTGTGCTAGCGTAGCTTGCGCGTCAATTTATCTTTGAGTAGGGTTGCTTACTTTATCATTATCGAGTTTTAGTATTTTGTACAATTTTATCGTTATCGAATTTTAAACATTTTGTGTATTTTCAGCTTTGTTCTTATTTGGTGGTTGGATTCGTTTGGTAAGTAGTTTCAATTTATTAGGATTCAGGAATTAATTATTGTTTGGTGAGTACTGTGTTATAGTTTAAAGTTGTTTATATTGTTTCAATGTAATTTGTTTCATTGCAGGTGGCACCAGAGAGGACAGCCAAGTTGATGATGGATGGGTAAGTATGTGCTTATATATGTAGCAAAAGGACTGGCTTTATTATTATAAATCTTTTTATTTCCAGATAAGACGTGGAAAGTTACCAAGTCTGATTTTATAGTATATAAATAGGTTATTTGTTATTCTTAGGTTATTGTTTTGTTTGTAGAATTGTCATTAGTTTATTGTTTTGCTTGTTTCCCTTAGTCTGAGTTATTGTTTGTTTAGACTTTGTTTCATTTAGTGAATTTTAGTCTTTTAGGAATATTTGTCTTGTTATTTAGTGTAGTAGTTTAAGTTTAAGATTGCATTTGCCTGGGGTAATTTGAGTTTTAATATATGGCGCAGAGTATTTGTTTCCTTTGTGGCTATCGAATTTTGACAAATAGCGTACTTTAGGATGTGTTCGTACTAGGTGTTTATGTTTGGATTATATTAAGTTTATTTATTATACGCAGGTAGCTAAGTTGTTATTTAATAGGTCTTTTATAATTTATATATTTTTATTTTTATTTTATTTTATTTGTTTATTTATTTTATTTATTTATTCTTATTTTTTGTGAGCAATACGTGCGAGGGTGGGTATCAAAGTTGCTTCCTTTTGTTTCTTGTTGAAGATTACTGCTTTGTCAGCTTCTTTTCCTTGCTTAGACTTGTCTTGTCTTCAGTATTAGCGTTTGATTTAGTGTTTGGTTGTTATGTGCTATATATATTTATTGTTTGATTTTTATTTTTATTTTTTTATCTGATTGTTGTTTTATTAGTTATATTATTATTATTAGTTAGTTATAGTGTAATTACTAGTTAGTTGTATTGTATTATATTATTAGATATTTAGAATTGCATTAATATGTTGGGGATGTCAAATAGTTTACCAGTTTTTATCGTTTAGGAGGCTTGTAGTTTGTATTTGTGAGGAATATTGTATAATATTGTTATTATTAGTTAGTTATAGTGAAATTATGTTATTCTAGTTATTTTTTTTATTTTTGTTTATTTATTTATTTTTATTTTTTTTTTTTTTTTGTTTTAGTTTAGGTTTTGCAGCGAGCAGCTTGTTGATTGTAAGTATAAATTTGACTATTTATGATTTAGGGGCTTGTAGATTGTAGATGTGAGGATTATTGTATACTTTTGTTTTTATAAGTTAGCTATAGCGAATTATGTTATTTGTTTGCTGCAGGTATATTATTTCACTAGATAGTTGTAGGTGTGCGGGCAAGTTGCAGAGCATTTGTTTATTTTCCTTATTAGAGTATAATTTCATAGCTTCCCAGTTTTGTTCAATTATTACTGTTGCCTAATCTAGTTATTTTTTTTTTATTTATTTATTTTTTTATTTTTATTTATTTTTATTTATTTATTTATTTGTTTTGTTTTTTGTTTTAGTTTAGGTTTTGCCGCAAGCAGCTTGTTGATTGTAAGTATTAATTTGTCTATTTTGTATCTTTAATTCAGCAGTAAAATTTTAATGAGTTGTATCTTTCAGATAGCGCTTGAAGATGCCACTGTCTAGTACTTGTATTAAGTGTTCTTGTTTGATTAATGAGAGTATAAACTGCTTTCAGCCTGCATGTTTTTTAATGCGAGGGAATCACATACACAATTGCCCTGCTTTTTCTCGCCTCAAGCTTTAGGCTGCCCAGCAGCGTAAAGGTGAGAGAAGAGGGAACAGGGTGTCTTTATTCATTTCTCAGTGCTTTGCGTTAGTACTTTCTAGAAATTAGTTGGCAGCTTATTTACAATTCACTTATGTGGTAAGTATTATAAGCTAGTAGTAGGCGAAACTTAATATAAGTGTTTATTAATAAAGTTTGAATTTTACAAATAATTGAGTGTTTTCTTTTTATATACATATATATATCTATCTAGTAAAGTTGTAGTTATTTATACAGATTTAATTTGGTGGGGAAGAGTAAAGACTAAGTCAGATTTTCTTCGTTAAATTCAATTTAGATTACTATTCTTTAAATTCAATTTGGATTACTATTCTTTAAATTTAATTTGGATTACTATTCTTAAATATAATTACATTTAGCTGGTTTGTTAGTTGTATTGTTGATTTGATAACTCTAGGGGCGTCATCAGTCGCTGTCATCCAGTCTTCAGTGGCCCGGAGGGGAAGACAGAAGAAGGCGCTGCTGTCGATGCTCTTATTTGTAGCTATGTCCAGGTTGTAAGTACTCCGTGGATCCAGGAGAGAGGCTAGTCTGAGACTTGCTATTTATTCATAGGCACCCTTTATTTTCTGGCTTTTGCTTACTTTGTTTCTTTCCATAGTGTTCGTCTTTATTTAGAATTTCTTATATCGTGATTGTTTATTTATTTGCTTTGCTTGATTTTTTTTTGAGATTTTTATTTATTGTTGGTTTTATTAGTAAGAATATTAATTTATTATTAGCTTGCTATGGGCTTTAACTTTGTTTATATTTAAGTTTTTGGATTTATTATTATTATTTATTTATTTTTTGTTTGTTAGATTTGACTGCAAGATTCACTCAGTAGCGTGTATAGCGAGGTGGGTATATTATTGAAATATCGTGTATTAGTTATAAGTTTATTTATTTGTTTTGTCTATCCATTTTAACATTTGTTTTATTTATTAATTTATTGTTAAGTGTTTTTATTATTTGCTTTGTTAAATCGATTATTTATTTATAATTATGGTTGTTTAGCGTATTTATTTTGTTTTTACTTAGGGTTTTGCACTTTTATTAGAAAGTTTTGTTGCGAGTGTTGCATATGTAATTAGAAGTTTAGCCCGTTTTGTTTTGTTGCTTGTGTTTTTAGTCTTTATTTGCAGCAGGAATTAGTTGAGGCGGCCATGTTGTAAGATTGGTAAGTACATATTTGTTTTCATCGTTTACTTGCATATTTATTATATTAAGTATCATTAAAAGTTGTCGGCAGGAGTAGTTCGACTGCATGTATTGCGGTGATTTATTTATTGGAGTAGTTCAACTGCATGTATTGCGATGATTTATTTTATTGGATCGTAGAATTATTTGTGTTCGCGCGCGGTATTTGTTAAATTTGTGCTAGCGTAGCTTGCGCGTCAATTTATCTTTGAGTAGGGTTGCTTACTTTATCATTATCGAGTTTTAGTATTTTGTACAATTTTATCGTTATCGAATTTTAAACATTTTGTGTATTTTCAGCTTTGTTCTTATTTGGTGGTTGGATTCGTTTGGTAAGTAGTTTCAATTTATTAGGATTCAGGAATTAATTATTGTTTGGTGAGTACTGTGTTATAGTTTAAAGTTGTTTATATTGTTTCAATGTAATTTGTTTCATTGCAGGTGGCACCAGAGAGGACAGCCAAGTTGATGATGGATGGGTAAGTATGTGCTTATATATGTAGCAAAAGGACTGGCTTTATTATTATAAATCTTTTTATTTCCAGATAAGACGTGGAAAGTTACCAAGTCTGATTTTATAGTATATAAATAGGTTATTTGTTATTCTTAGGTTATTGTTTTGTTTGTAGAATTGTCATTAGTTTATTGTTTTGCTTGTTTCCCTTAGTCTGAGTTATTGTTTGTTTAGACTTTGTTTCATTTAGTGAATTTTAGTCTTTTAGGAATATTTGTCTTGTTATTTAGTGTAGTAGTTTAAGTTTAAGATTGCATTTGCCTGGGGTAATTTGAGTTTTAATATATGGCGCAGAGTATTTGTTTCCTTTGTGGCTATCGAATTTTGACAAATAGCGTACTTTAGGATGTGTTCGTACTAGGTGTTTATGTTTGGATTATATTAAGTTTATTTATTATACGCAGGTAGCTAAGTTGTTATTTAATAGGTCTTTTATAATTTATATATTTTTATTTTTATTTTATTTTATTTGTTTATTTATTTTATTTATTTATTCTTATTTTTTGTGAGCAATACGTGCGAGGGTGGGTATCAAAGTTGCTTCCTTTTGTTTCTTGTTGAAGATTACTGCTTTGTCAGCTTCTTTTCCTTGCTTAGACTTGTCTTGTCTTCAGTATTAGCGTTTGATTTAGTGTTTGGTTGTTATGTGCTATATATATTTATTGTTTGATTTTTATTTTTATTTTTTTATCTGATTGTTGTTTTATTAGTTATATTATTATTATTAGTTAGTTATAGTGTAATTACTAGTTAGTTGTATTGTATTATATTATTAGATATTTAGAATTGCATTAATATGTTGGGGATGTCAAATAGTTTACCAGTTTTTATCGTTTAGGAGGCTTGTAGTTTGTATTTGTGAGGAATATTGTATAATATTGTTATTATTAGTTAGTTATAGTGAAATTATGTTATTCTAGTTATTTTTTTTATTTTTGTTTATTTATTTATTTTTATTTTTTTTTTTTTTTGTTTTAGTTTAGGTTTTGCAGCGAGCAGCTTGTTGATTGTAAGTATAAATTTGACTATTTATGATTTAGGGGCTTGTAGATTGTAGATGTGAGGATTATTGTATACTTTTGTTTTTATAAGTTAGCTATAGCGAATTATGTTATTTGTTTGCTGCAGGTATATTATTTCACTAGATAGTTGTAGGTGTGCGGGCAAGTTGCAGAGCATTTGTTTATTTTCCTTATTAGAGTATAATTTCATAGCTTCCCAGTTTTGTTCAATTATTACTGTTGCCTAATCTAGTTATTTTTTTTTTTATTTATTTATTTTTTTATTTTTATTTATTTTTATTTATTTATTTATTTGTTTTGTTTTTGTTTTAGTTTAGGTTTTGCCGCAAGCAGCTTGTTGATTGTAAGTATTAATTTGTCTATTTTGTATCTTTAATTCAGCAGTAAAATTTTAATGAGTTGTATCTTTCAGATAGCGCTTGAAGATGCCACTGTCTAGTACTTGTATTAAGTGTTCTTGTTTGATTAATGAGAGTATAAACTTTTTTCAGCCTGCATGCGAGGGAATCACATACACAATTGCCCTGCTTTTTCTCGCCTCAAGCTTTAGGCTGCCCAGCAGCGTAAAGGTGAGAGAAGAGGGAACAGGGTGTCTTTATTCATTTCTCAGTGCTTTGCGTTAGTACTTTCTAGAAATTAGTTGGCAGCTTATTTACAATTCACTTATGTGGTAAGTATTATAAGCTAGTAGTAGGCGAAACTTAATATAAGTGTTTATTAATAAAGTTTGAATTTTACAAATAATTGAGTGTTTTCTTTTTTATATACATATATATATCTATCTAGTAAAGTTGTAGTTATTTATACAGATTTAATTTGGTGGGGAAGAGTAAAGACTAAGTCAGATTTTCTTCGTTAAATTCAATTTAGATTACTATTCTTTAAATTCAATTTGGATTACTATTCTTTAAATTTAATTTGGATTACTATTCTTAAATATAATTACATTTAGCTGGTTTGTTAGTTGTATTGTTGATTTGATAACTCTAGGGGCGTCATCAGTCGCTGTCATCCAGTCTTCAGTGGCCCGGAGGGGAAGACAGAAGAAGGCGCTGCTGTCGATGCTCTTATTTGTAGCTATGTCCAGGTTGTAAGTACTCCGTGGATCCAGGAGAGAGGCTAGTCTGAGACTTGCTATTTATTCATAGGCACCCTTTATTTTCTGGCTTTTGCTTACTTTGTTTCTTTCCATAGTGTTCGTCTTTATTTAGAATTTCTTATATCGTGATTGTTTATTTATTTGCTTTGCTTGATTTTTTTTTGAGATTTTTATTTATTGTTGGTTTTATTAGTAAGAATATTAATTTATTATTAGCTTGCTATGGGCTTTAACTTTGTTTATATTTAAGTTTTTGGATTTATTATTATTATTTATTTATTTTTTGTTTGTTAGATTTGACTGCAAGATTCACTCAGTAGCGTGTATAGCGAGGTGGGTATATTATTGAAATATCGTGTATTAGTTATAAGTTTATTTATTTGTTTTGTCTATCCATTTTAACATTTGTTTTATTTATTAATTTATTGTTAAGTGTTTTTATTATTTGCTTTGTTAAATCGATTATTTATTTATAATTATGGTTGTTTAGCGTATTTATTTTGTTTTTACTTAGGGTTTTGCACTTTTATTAGAAAGTTTTGTTGCGAGTGTTGCATATGTAATTAGAAGTTTAGCCCGTTTTGTTTTGTTGCTTGTGTTTTTAGTCTTTATTTGCAGCAGGAATTAGTTGAGGCGGCCATGTTGTAAGATTGGTAAGTACATATTTGTTTTCATCGTTTACTTGCATATTTATTATATTAAGTATCATTAAAAGTTGTCGGCAGGAGTAGTTCGACTGCATGTATTGCGGTGATTTATTTATTGGAGTAGTTCAACTGCATGTATTGCGATGATTTATTTTATTGGATCGTAGAATTATTTGTGTTCGCGCGCGGTATTTGTTAAATTTGTGCTAGCGTAGCTTGCGCGTCAATTTATCTTTGAGTAGGGTTGCTTACTTTATCATTATCGAGTTTTAGTATTTTGTACAATTTTATCGTTATCGAATTTTAAACATTTTGTGTATTTTCAGCTTTGTTCTTATTTGGTGGTTGGATTCGTTTGGTAAGTAGTTTCAATTTATTAGGATTCAGGAATTAATTATTGTTTGGTGAGTACTGTGTTATAGTTTAAAGTTGTTTATATTGTTTCAATGTAATTTGTTTCATTGCAGGTGGCACCAGAGAGGACAGCCAAGTTGATGATGGATGGGTAAGTATGTGCTTATATATGTAGCAAAAGGACTGGCTTTATTATTATAAATCTTTTTATTTCCAGATAAGACGTGGAAAGTTACCAAGTCTGATTTTATAGTATATAAATAGGTTATTTGTTATTCTTAGGTTATTGTTTTGTTTGTAGAATTGTCATTAGTTTATTGTTTTGCTTGTTTCCCTTAGTCTGAGTTATTGTTTGTTTAGACTTTGTTTCATTTAGTGAATTTTAGTCTTTTAGGAATATTTGTCTTGTTATTTAGTGTAGTAGTTTAAGTTTAAGATTGCATTTGCCTGGGGTAATTTGAGTTTTAATATATGGCGCAGAGTATTTGTTTCCTTTGTGGCTATCGAATTTTGACAAATAGCGTACTTTAGGATGTGTTCGTACTAGGTGTTTATGTTTGGATTATATTAAGTTTATTTATTATACGCAGGTAGCTAAGTTGTTATTTAATAGGTCTTTTATAATTTATATATTTTTATTTTTATTTTATTTTATTTGTTTATTTATTTTATTTATTTATTCTTATTTTTTGTGAGCAATACGTGCGAGGGTGGGTATCAAAGTTGCTTCCTTTTGTTTCTTGTTGAAGATTACTGCTTTGTCAGCTTCTTTTCCTTGCTTAGACTTGTCTTGTCTTCAGTATTAGCGTTTGATTTAGTGTTTGGTTGTTATGTGCTATATATATTTATTGTTTGATTTTTATTTTTATTTTTTTATCTGATTGTTGTTTTATTAGTTATATTATTATTATTAGTTAGTTATAGTGTAATTACTAGTTAGTTGTATTGTATTATATTATTAGATATTTAGAATTGCATTAATATGTTGGGGATGTCAAATAGTTTACCAGTTTTTATCGTTTAGGAGGCTTGTAGTTTGTATTTGTGAGGAATATTGTATAATATTGTTATTATTAGTTAGTTATAGTGAAATTATGTTATTCTAGTTATTTTTTTTTTTTTTTGTTTATTTATTTATTTTTATTTTTTTTTTTGTTTTTGTTTTAGTTTAGGTTTTGCAGCGAGCAGCTTGTTGATTGTAAGTATAAATTTGACTATTTATGATTTAGGGGCTTGTAGATTGTAGATGTGAGGATTATTGTATACTTTTGTTTTTATAAGTTAGCTATAGCGAATTATGTTATTTGTTTGCTGCAGGTATATTATTTCACTAGATAGTTGTAGGTGTGCGGGCAAGTTGCAGAGCATTTGTTTATTTTCCTTATTAGAGTATAATTTCATAGCTTCCCAGTTTTGTTCAATTATTACTGTTGCCTAATCTAGTTATTTTTTTTTTATTTATTTATTTTTTTATTTTTATTTATTTTTATTTATTTATTTATTTGTTTTGTTTTTGTTTTAGTTTAGGTTTTGCCGCAAGCAGCTTGTTGATTGTAAGTATTAATTTGTCTATTTTGTATCTTTAATTCAGCAGTAAAATTTTAATGAGTTGTATCTTTCAGATAGCGCTTGAAGATGACACTGTCTGGTACTTGTATAAAGTGTTCGTGATTTATTAATGAGAGTATAAACTTTTTCAGCCTGCATGCGAGGGAATCACATACACAATTGCCCTGCTTTTTCTCGCCTCAAGCTTTAGGCTGCCCAGCAGCGTAAAGGTGAGAGAAGAGGGAACAGGGTGTCTTTATTCATTTCTCAGTGCTTTGCGTTAGTACTTTCTAGAAATTAGTTGGCAGCTTATTTACAATTCACTTATGTGGTAAGTATTATAAGCTAGTAGTAGGCGAAACTTAATATAAGTGTTTATTAATAAAGTTTGAATTTTACAAATAATTGAGTGTTTTCTTTTTTATATAATATATATATCTATCTAGTAAAGTTGTAGTTATTTATACAGATTTAATTTGGTGGGGAAGAGTAAAGACTAAGTCAGATTTTCTTCGTTAAATTCAATTTAGATTACTATTCTTTAAATTCAATTTGGATTACTATTCTTTAAATTTAATTTGGATTACTATTCTTAAATATAATTACATTTAGCTGGTTTGTTAGTTGTATTGTTGATTTGATAACTCTAGGGGCGTCATCAGTCGCTGTCATCCAGTCTTCAGTGGCCCGGAGGGGAAGACAGAAGAAGGCGCTGCTGTCGATGCTCTTATTTGTAGCTATGTCCAGGTTGTAAGTACTCCGTGGATCCAGGAGAGAGGCTAGTCTGAGACTTGCTATTTATTCATAGGCACCCTTTATTTTCTGGCTTTTGCTTACTTTGTTTCTTTCCATAGTGTTCGTCTTTATTTAGAATTTCTTATATCGTGATTGTTTATTTATTTGCTTTGCTTGATTTTTTTTTGAGATTTTTATTTATTGTTGGTTTTATTAGTAAGAATATTAATTTATTATTAGCTTGCTATGGGCTTTAACTTTGTTTATATTTAAGTTTTTGGATTTATTATTATTATTTATTTATTTTTTGTTTGTTAGATTTGACTGCAAGATTCACTCAGTAGCGTGTATAGCGAGGTGGGTATATTATTGAAATATCGTGTATTAGTTATAAGTTTATTTATTTGTTTTGTCTATCCATTTTAACATTTGTTTTATTTATTAATTTATTGTTAAGTGTTTTTATTATTTGCTTTGTTAAATCGATTATTTATTTATAATTATGGTTGTTTAGCGTATTTATTTTGTTTTTACTTAGGGTTTTGCACTTTTATTAGAAAGTTTTGTTGCGAGTGTTGCATATGTAATTAGAAGTTTAGCCCGTTTTGTTTTGTTGCTTGTGTTTTTAGTCTTTATTTGCAGCAGGAATTAGTTGAGGCGGCCATGTTGTAAGATTGGTAAGTACATATTTGTTTTCATCGTTTACTTGCATATTTATTATATTAAGTATCATTAAAAGTTGTCGGCAGGAGTAGTTCGACTGCATGTATTGCGGTGATTTATTTATTGGAGTAGTTCAACTGCATGTATTGCGATGATTTATTTTATTGGATCGTAGAATTATTTGTGTTCGCGCGCGGTATTTGTTAAATTTGTGCTAGCGTAGCTTGCGCGTCAATTTATCTTTGAGTAGGGTTGCTTACTTTATCATTATCGAGTTTTAGTATTTTGTACAATTTTATCGTTATCGAATTTTAAACATTTTGTGTATTTTCAGCTTTGTTCTTATTTGGTGGTTGGATTCGTTTGGTAAGTAGTTTCAATTTATTAGGATTCAGGAATTAATTATTGTTTGGTGAGTACTGTGTTATAGTTTAAAGTTGTTTATATTGTTTCAATGTAATTTGTTTCATTGCAGGTGGCACCAGAGAGGACAGCCAAGTTGATGATGGATGGGTAAGTATGTGCTTATATATGTAGCAAAAGGACTGGCTTTATTATTATAAATCTTTTTATTTCCAGATAAGACGTGGAAAGTTACCAAGTCTGATTTTATAGTATATAAATAGGTTATTTGTTATTCTTAGGTTATTGTTTTGTTTGTAGAATTGTCATTAGTTTATTGTTTTGCTTGTTTCCCTTAGTCTGAGTTATTGTTTGTTTAGACTTTGTTTCATTTAGTGAATTTTAGTCTTTTAGGAATATTTGTCTTGTTATTTAGTGTAGTAGTTTAAGTTTAAGATTGCATTTGCCTGGGGTAATTTGAGTTTTAATATATGGCGCAGAGTATTTGTTTCCTTTGTGGCTATCGAATTTTGACAAATAGCGTACTTTAGGATGTGTTCGTACTAGGTGTTTATGTTTGGATTATATTAAGTTTATTTATTATACGCAGGTAGCTAAGTTGTTATTTAATAGGTCTTTTATAATTTATATATTTTTATTTTTATTTTATTTTATTTGTTTATTTATTTTATTTATTTATTCTTATTTTTTGTGAGCAATACGTGCGAGGGTGGGTATCAAAGTTGCTTCCTTTTGTTTCTTGTTGAAGATTACTGCTTTGTCAGCTTCTTTTCCTTGCTTAGACTTGTCTTGTCTTCAGTATTAGCGTTTGATTTAGTGTTTGGTTGTTATGTGCTATATATATTTATTGTTTGATTTTTATTTTTATTTTTTTATCTGATTGTTGTTTTATTAGTTATATTATTATTATTAGTTAGTTATAGTGTAATTACTAGTTAGTTGTATTGTATTATATTATTAGATATTTAGAATTGCATTAATATGTTGGGGATGTCAAATAGTTTACCAGTTTTTATCGTTTAGGAGGCTTGTAGTTTGTATTTGTGAGGAATATTGTATAATATTGTTATTATTAGTTAGTTATAGTGAAATTATGTTATTCTAGTTATTTTTTTATTTTTTGTTTATTTATTTATTTTTATTTTTTTTTTTTTTTTGTTTTAGTTTAGGTTTTGCAGCGAGCAGCTTGTTGATTGTAAGTATAAATTTGACTATTTATGATTTAGGGGCTTGTAGATTGTAGATGTGAGGATTATTGTATACTTTTGTTTTTATAAGTTAGCTATAGCGAATTATGTTATTTGTTTGCTGCAGGTATATTATTTCACTAGATAGTTGTAGGTGTGCGGGCAAGTTGCAGAGCATTTGTTTATTTTCCTTATTAGAGTATAATTTCATAGCTTCCCAGTTTTGTTCAATTATTACTGTTGCCTAATCTAGTTATTTTTTTTTTATTTATTTATTTTTTTTTTTATTTTTATTTATTTTTATTTATTTATTTATTTGTTTTGTTTTTGTTTTAGTTTAGGTTTTGCCGCAAGCAGCTTGTTGATTGTAAGTATTAATTTGTCTATTTTGTATCTTTAATTCAGCAGTAAAATTTTAATGAGTTGTATCTTTCAGATAGCGCTTGAAGATGCCACTGTCTAGTACTTGTATTAAGTGTTCTTGTTTGATTAATGAGAGTATAAACTGCTTACGAAGCTTGTGTGTGGGTAAGCGTTTTGATGGCCTTATTAGAGTATAATTTCATAGCTTCCCAGTATTGTTCAATTATTACTGTTGCCTAATCTAGTTATTTTTTTTTTATTTATTTTATTTATTTTTTTTTTTTATTTTTTTGTTTTTATTTTTTTTTTTTTTTTTATTTATTTTATTTATTTTTATTTATTTATCTATATATTGTTTTGTTTTGTTTTAGTTTAGGTTTTGCAGCAAGCAGCTTGTTGGTTGTAAGTATTAATTTGTCTATTTTGTGTCCTTAATTCAGCAGTAAAATTTTAATGAGTTGTATCTTTCAGATAGCGCTTGAAGATGACACTGTCTGGTACTTGTATAAAGTGTTCGTGATTTATTAATGAGAGTATAAACTTTTTCAGCCTGCATGCGAGGAATCACAAACACAAATTGCCCTGCTTTTTCTCGCCTCAAGCTTTAGGCTGCCCAGCAGCGTAAAGGTGAGAGAAGAGGGAACAGGGTGTCTTTATTCATTTCTCAGTGCTTTGCGTTAGTACTTTCTAGAAATTAGTTGGCAGCTTATTTACAATTCACTTATGTGGTAAGTATTATAAGCTAGTAGTAGGCGAAACTTAATATAAGTGTTTATTAATAAAGTTTGAATTTTACAAATAATTGAGTGTTTTCTTTTTATATACATATATATATCTATCTAGTAAAGTTGTAGTTATTTATACAGATTTAATTTGGTGGGGAAGAGTAAAGACTAAGTCAGATTTTCTTCGTTAAATTCAATTTAGATTACTATTCTTTAAATTCAATTTGGATTACTATTCTTTAAATTTAATTTGGATTACTATTCTTAAATATAATTACATTTAGCTGGTTTGTTAGTTGTATTGTTGATTTGATAACTCTAGGGGCGTCATCAGTCGCTGTCATCCAGTCTTCAGTGGCCCGGAGGGGAAGACAGAAGAAGGCGCTGCTGTCGATGCTCTTATTTGTAGCTATGTCCAGGTTGTAAGTACTCCGTGGATCCAGGAGAGAGGCTAGTCTGAGACTTGCTATTTATTCATAGGCACCCTTTATTTTCTGGCTTTTGCTTACTTTGTTTCTTTCCATAGTGTTCGTCTTTATTTAGAATTTCTTATATCGTGATTGTTTATTTATTTGCTTTGCTTGATTTTTTTTTGAGATTTTTATTTATTGTTGGTTTTATTAGTAAGAATATTAATTTATTATTAGCTTGCTATGGGCTTTAACTTTGTTTATATTTAAGTTTTTGGATTTATTATTATTATTTATTTATTTTTTGTTTGTTAGATTTGACTGCAAGATTCACTCAGTAGCGTGTATAGCGAGGTGGGTATATTATTGAAATATCGTGTATTAGTTATAAGTTTATTTATTTGTTTTGTCTATCCATTTTAACATTTGTTTTATTTATTAATTTATTGTTAAGTGTTTTTATTATTTGCTTTGTTAAATCGATTATTTATTTATAATTATGGTTGTTTAGCGTATTTATTTTGTTTTTACTTAGGGTTTTGCACTTTTATTAGAAAGTTTTGTTGCGAGTGTTGCATATGTAATTAGAAGTTTAGCCCGTTTTGTTTTGTTGCTTGTGTTTTTAGTCTTTATTTGCAGCAGGAATTAGTTGAGGCGGCCATGTTGTAAGATTGGTAAGTACATATTTGTTTTCATCGTTTACTTGCATATTTATTATATTAAGTATCATTAAAAGTTGTCGGCAGGAGTAGTTCGACTGCATGTATTGCGGTGATTTATTTATTGGAGTAGTTCAACTGCATGTATTGCGATGATTTATTTTATTGGATCGTAGAATTATTTGTGTTCGCGCGCGGTATTTGTTAAATTTGTGCTAGCGTAGCTTGCGCGTCAATTTATCTTTGAGTAGGGTTGCTTACTTTATCATTATCGAGTTTTAGTATTTTGTACAATTTTATCGTTATCGAATTTTAAACATTTTGTGTATTTTCAGCTTTGTTCTTATTTGGTGGTTGGATTCGTTTGGTAAGTAGTTTCAATTTATTAGGATTCAGGAATTAATTATTGTTTGGTGAGTACTGTGTTATAGTTTAAAGTTGTTTATATTGTTTCAATGTAATTTGTTTCATTGCAGGTGGCACCAGAGAGGACAGCCAAGTTGATGATGGATGGGTAAGTATGTGCTTATATATGTAGCAAAAGGACTGGCTTTATTATTATAAATCTTTTTATTTCCAGATAAGACGTGGAAAGTTACCAAGTCTGATTTTATAGTATATAAATAGGTTATTTGTTATTCTTAGGTTATTGTTTTGTTTGTAGAATTGTCATTAGTTTATTGTTTTGCTTGTTTCCCTTAGTCTGAGTTATTGTTTGTTTAGACTTTGTTTCATTTAGTGAATTTTAGTCTTTTAGGAATATTTGTCTTGTTATTTAGTGTAGTAGTTTAAGTTTAAGATTGCATTTGCCTGGGGTAATTTGAGTTTTAATATATGGCGCAGAGTATTTGTTTCCTTTGTGGCTATCGAATTTTGACAAATAGCGTACTTTAGGATGTGTTCGTACTAGGTGTTTATGTTTGGATTATATTAAGTTTATTTATTATACGCAGGTAGCTAAGTTGTTATTTAATAGGTCTTTTATAATTTATATATTTTTATTTTTATTTTATTTTATTTGTTTATTTATTTTATTTATTTATTCTTATTTTTTGTGAGCAATACGTGCGAGGGTGGGTATCAAAGTTGCTTCCTTTTGTTTCTTGTTGAAGATTACTGCTTTGTCAGCTTCTTTTCCTTGCTTAGACTTGTCTTGTCTTCAGTATTAGCGTTTGATTTAGTGTTTGGTTGTTATGTGCTATATATATTTATTGTTTGATTTTTATTTTTATTTTTTTATCTGATTGTTGTTTTATTAGTTATATTATTATTATTAGTTAGTTATAGTGTAATTACTAGTTAGTTGTATTGTATTATATTATTAGATATTTAGAATTGCATTAATATGTTGGGGATGTCAAATAGTTTACCAGTTTTTATCGTTTAGGAGGCTTGTAGTTTGTATTTGTGAGGAATATTGTATAATATTGTTATTATTAGTTAGTTATAGTGAAATTATGTTATTCTAGTTATTTTTTTTATTTTTGTTTATTTATTTATTTTTATTTTTTTTTGTTTTTGTTTTAGTTTAGGTTTTGCAGCGAGCAGCTTGTTGATTGTAAGTATAAATTTGACTATTTATGATTTAGGGGCTTGTAGATTGTAGATGTGAGGATTATTGTATACTTTTGTTTTTATAAGTTAGCTATAGCGAATTATGTTATTTGTTTGCTGCAGGTATATTATTTCACTAGATAGTTGTAGGTGTGCGGGCAAGTTGCAGAGCATTTGTTTATTTTCCTTATTAGAGTATAATTTCATAGCTTCCCAGTTTTGTTCAATTATTACTGTTGCCTAATCTAGTTATTTTTTTTTTTTTATTTATTTTTTTTATTTTTATTTATTTGTCAGCTTCTTTTCCTTGCTTAGACTTGTCTTGTCTTCAGTATTAGCGTTTGATTTAGTGTTTGGTTGTTATGTGCTATATATATTTATTGTTTGATTTTTATTTTTATTTTTTTATCTGATTGTTGTTTTATTAGTTATATTATTATTATTAGTTAGTTATAGTGTAATTACTAGTTAGTTGTATTGTATTATATTATTAGATATTTAGAATTGCATTAATATGTTGGGGATGTCAAATAGTTTACCAGTTTTTATCGTTTAGGAGGCTTGTAGTTTGTATTTGTGAGGAATATTGTATAATATTGTTATTATTAGTTAGTTATAGTGAAATTATGTTATTCTAGTTATTTTTTTTATTTTTGTTTATTTATTTATTTTTATTTTTTTTTTTGTTTTTGTTTTAGTTTAGGTTTTGCAGCGAGCAGCTTGTTGATTGTAAGTATAAATTTGACTATTTATGATTTAGGGGCTTGTAGATTGTAGATGTGAGGATTATTGTATACTTTTGTTTTTATAAGTTAGCTATAGCGAATTATGTTATTTGTTTGCTGCAGGTATATTATTTCACTAGATAGTTGTAGGTGTGCGGGCAAGTTGCAGAGCATTTGTTTATTTTCCTTATTAGAGTATAATTTCATAGCTTCCCAGTTTTGTTCAATTATTACTGTTGCCTAATCTAGTTATTTTTTTTTATTTATTTATTTTTTTATTTTTATTTATTTTTATTTATTTATTTATTTGTTTTGTTTTTGTTTTAGTTTAGGTTTTGCCGCAAGCAGCTTGTTGATTGTAAGTATTAATTTGTCTATTTTGTATCTTTAATTCAGCAGTAAAATTTTAATGAGTTGTATCTTTCAGATAGCGCTTGAAGATGCCACTGTCTAGTACTTGTATTAAGTGTTCTTGTTTGATTAATGAGAGTATAAACTGCTTACGAAGCTTGTGTGTGGGTAAGCGTTTTGATGGCCTTATTAGAGTATAATTTCATAGCTTCCCAGTATTGTTCAATTATTACTGTTGCCTAATCTAGTTATTTTTTTTTTATTTATTTTATTTATTTTTTTTTTTTTTTTTTTTTTTTTTTTTTTTTTTTTTTTATTTATTTTATTTATTTTTATTTATTTATCTATATATTGTTTTGTTTTGTTTTAGTTTAGGTTTTGCAGCAAGCAGCTTGTTGGTTGTAAGTATTAATTTGTCTATTTTGTGTCCTTAATTCAGCAGTAAAATTTTAATGAGTTGTATCTTTCAGATAGCGCTTGAAGATGACACTGTCTGGTACTTGTATAAAGTGTTCGTGATTTATTAATGAGAGTATAAACTGCTTACGAAGCTTGTGTGTGGGTAAGCGTTTTGATGTTATATGCTTATTAATCTTGGTCGTTTTCAGGAGGCATGCCTGAGTCTTCTCCTTGGCGAAGGGGGGCCATCTGTTCGAAGACTGGGAGCCTTGTGCTCAAGCGTTCGTCTGGGGCTAAGTCCTGGGCAGGCTCTCTTGGAGGCGTAGTTAATACATGTACAGGGCTGTCAGGTATAACTATTATCACGTCAGTATTTAGATTTTGAGCGTTGGCGGTAGACGTGTTGTTGTGGCCTAGTGGGGCCCGTAGTTGTGCACGACGGCGCTCTTCAGCAGCTCGTTGGTTCGTGAGCCATGAGTATAGTCCAGAGTTAGGCAGGCATGCGCCGGAGAGATAATTTCTTTCAAATTCTCTGTGTCGATTGAGTATCCGCTGCTCCCGTGCCTCAATTAGGTCAGATAGATGATTATGGATAGTCTGGGAATATCTTGGCCTTATCAGTCTATTTGGGACGTAAGGATCGTAGGCTAATCTTTTTGCCTCAGGGTTGTTATGGTTACGTAGACGGGCATAATATTTGCCACAGGCTTTATCAAAAGTCTCGTCTACAGTAGCAACTTTCAAGTCAGTGCGAATGGTTTCATTGGGGACGTGCCATGGAGCGCCGGTTATAAGCCTTAGTGTTTTACTTTGCATGACCTTAATTCTAGAGAACTGCGTGTTCGATAGTAACGCGCCCCAGACGGGAAATGTGTATTGCCAAATGGGAGCGATTAATTGCTTATAGAGGATGAGTTTTGTTGCTATTTTTTTTTTTTTTTTTTTTTTTTTTTTTTTTTTTTGTTGAATAGTCACGTCTGCTCGAGGCTGTGCCGTAGACTGACTGACTATATTTATTTATTTACTGCTATACTACTGTATAATATAGTAAATTTGTTGACGCCTACTGTGTGTAGGTCTCAAATGTGAGTGTTACATTAAATGTGAAGTGACATACAAAAGTAGTTTGATTAATTTTGTGTAAATTTGTTGACGCCTACTGTGTGTAGATCTCAAATGTGAGTGTTACATTAGATGTGAAGTGACATACAAAAGTAGTTTGATTAATTTTGTGTGAATTTGTTGACGCCTACTGTGTGTAGATCTCAAATGTGAGTGTTACATTAAATGTGAAGTGAAATACAAAAGTAGTTTGATTATGTTTTAGTGAATGTATAGATATCTTGATTAAGAATTGCATCCGGCCAGGAAACGTCATCTCTTCCGGGACTGGCATCCTGTTTGGGATTCTGTATGGAAGAACCAGTATTTTAACTGGAGCCAGGATCCTGTCTGGAACCGTCGATTTGAATAAGATTGACATCTCGACAAGAGCCAATATTTCGACTGGGAATGGAATTTTGTCTGGAGCCATCGACCTGATTGAAACCATTATTTTGACTGGAGCCAGTATCTTGCCTGAAACTATCGTCCCGCCTAAAACTGATATTCTGATATGAGTTGAAGTTCCGATTTAAGTTAACAGGATGATTAAAAGTAGAAACTGCATTTTTAGAAGGGATAGTAGCAACATATATGCAACCATGTGCCCGTCTCTGCTTGGCCTGTAATAGTTCCCATTTCCGCTTAAATATGTTTGATTGCAAGTGATTGTTGAGCATCACGGAGTAACGCTTCCACTTCAGCCGTTGCGGAATGCACGGGTAGTTACCAATTCGTCTTGCCTCAGGATTGGGATGAGCAAGAAGCCGGCTCACATATTTATAACACAGTTTATTATAGATGCTTTCAACAGTGTCTACTTGCAGATCTATATGAAGTGTGTTATTACTGACATACCACGGTGCACCTGTTATTTCTCTAAGTATTTTATTTTGTGCTACTTGCAGCTTATTAAATCTGGTCTCGCATATCAGCGCGCCCCATATAGGAAGAGCATATTGCCAAATCGGCGCAATAAGCAGCTTATATAGTAATATTTTAAGTTTTAGTGGCAGCTTACTTCTAGCTCCAATTATCCACTTTAACTCTTTAGTTCTCGTTCTAAGCTTGCCAATTATATTATTAATATGAGTTTTTAACAACAGTTTGTTATCCAGCTGTATGCCCAAATATCTATGGCTAGTTTTGTTGTCAATATTATTACCCGCAATTGTGACAACACTTTGATGATCATATTGTACTTGCCGAATTGAATGTATCACATGAACTGTTTTGGAATAGTTGAGTTTGATACACCATTTTTTGGTCCATTCGTGAAATGTGTTGAGATAATGATTAAGGTGTTGTACAGCATGTGTCAAACTAATATTGCTCGAGAGAATTGCAGTGTCATCAGCATATGTTCCTAGCATCATGCGTGCAGTTGGACGTCGAACGCTGGATATGGCTGGTAGTGGCATGTCCGCAGTGTAGAAATTATACAGAATTGGGCTCAAAACGCCTCCTTGTGGAACACCAGCAGCGATTTGTTTAACACTTGATCGTGTGCCATCGAAACACTCCACTATAAATGTACGATTTTTGAGATAACTATGTAGGATGTTAAATAGTACATTTGGTAGTAACTTCTTTAGCTTGTATAGAAGCCCTGGGTGCCAGACACGATCAAAAGCTTCAGAAATGTCCAGATAGACGGCTGAGCAGAAATAATTATCTTCAAAAAGCTTCCATAATGAATTGAGTGACACGACCAAGTTGCTGTTCTGTGGAATGCCGACTACGAAAGCCAAATTGGTGATCAGGCATTGCCTTACAAAACGCCTCCACCTCAAATAGCCTATTCATAATTAACTTCTCAAGGATTTTGGATAGCCCTGAGAGTAAGCTGATTGGCCTGTAGGAAGTCAGCTCATGGGCTGGCTTACCAGGTTTAACTATCATTCTGACTCTTGCGCATTTCCATCGGCTGGGAAAGTGTCCAAATCTGAGCGCACTGTTGAATATAAGAGTTAAATACAGCAGTGCCTTTAGAGGAAGTGCTTTGAGTGTCCAGTTATCAATGAAGTCTAACCCAGGAGACTTCTTAATTTGAAGATCATTGATTATGGTCATAACTTCCTGAACAAGTATAGGTCGAAATTGCACAGGAGGCAAGCTACCACTGTCTTAATCTGGCAAGCATTGAGATTCAATGTCCTCTTTATCCTCTTGACTGCAGGTTATGTTAGGCCGGAACCGTCCTTCAAGATGAAGAGCAAAAGATTCTGCTTTCTCCTCAGAGGTTTTACACCAAATGGCATGTCTTTCGTTCACAGCTGTGTGATCTACATCAACAAATCTTTTAAGCGGTAAGTCAGTAATCGGTTGCTTTTTTACCAAATTTGTGACTCGCCATAACTTCTTCATGCAATATCTATCGTTAGGATCAATATGATTGATTAACCTATCTATATTTCTGTTTTTAGCTTCCTTAATGGCAATTTTGATTGCTCTGGTCAATCTGTTGAGCACCAGTTTAGCAGCCCGATCACGATGATTTTTCAGGTATCTTTTTATAAGTTTCCTTCCCTTAATCATAACTAGGACATAATAGCTTAATTTGGTGCCGTTGTTGCTAATGTGCCCACGGTCATGCCTAGTATTGGGAATCATATTAGCTGCATGCATAGCAGCGTTTTTTTTTTTTTATATATATATATTTATTTATAATCCAACTTATTACTAAAACTATAGCAACTTTTTTGAATTTAAAATAACAGCAATTATAGCTATGGGTTTTAAATAACTTAATGTTTCGATAGCCGTTTAGCATAACATTAGCAGCTTTTGTTTTGAATTAAAAATAAATATAACAGCAATCATAGCAATGGGTTAAGTGACTTAACATTTCGATAGCAGTTTACATTTAACATAACATTTCGATAAATATTTGTTATTATTTACATCCGTGCAATCTGGGCACACTTAGTTAAACGTGCTTGTTGATATTGTAGCAAATAAGCATTACAATTAGTTAAGTATATTATTATTAACAATATTTAGGTGGCTAGTACATAATTTTATTATTATTATTATTTATTACTATTATTATTATTATTTTTTTTTTTTTTTTTTTTCCAGGATCCGGGCTGCACTTCACAGGATAACCACATCAAGCTGGGATATTGCGCAATTTATGGGCACCCCTCGTCGCTGGAGTTTGTCGGCAGGTAAGTCATCATTGCAGATTGTAACTGGTATTTTGATGCTTATAGCTTTTTCCATTTACAGGCTTATGTTAGCCCAGCGCCATAGCATGACATCAGGGAGGCGTAAACACCCGAAGGCGAGGCTGCAGTCCTTGGGCCAAATGTGTTTTGCAGATCAAGGGCGTCTGCATCCTTCAGGCAAGGCAAGCATCGTGATGTAGGCATATATACCAAGGATGGCCTTCACAGCTGTGTAAGGTCGGGTTAGTCTATAAAGAAATGATATTTATAGTAGTTATGGTTTATATTTGATAATGGTCCCATTGGGTTTCGTCTCGCATTTGTAGTGACTACAACCAGGCCAGGTTGAAGACTCCATCTATGGTTACGTCTATGCAGATGTGCACTGGGAGTACGCGTTCCAGTCCGATTGTAGGCTGCAAAGGGCAGTCCATGTGGGTCAGCTTTTTTATCTATATATATATTTATTTATAATCCAACTTATTACTAAAACTATAGCAACTTTTTTGAATTTAAAATAACAGCAATTATAGCTATGGGTTTTAAATAACTTAATGTTTCGATAGCCGTTTAGCATAACATTAGCAGCTTTTGTTTTGAATTAAAAATAAATATAACAGCAATCATAGCAATGGGTTAAGTGACTTAACATTTCGATAGCAGTTTACATTTAACATAACATTTCGATAAATATTTGTTATTATTTACATCCGTGCAATCTGGGCACACTTAGTTAAACGTGCTTGTTGATATTGTAGCAAATAAGCATTACAATTAGTTAAGTATATTATTATTAACAATATTTAGGTGGCTAGTACATAATTTTATTATTATTATTATTTATTACTATTATTATTATTATTTTTTTTTTTTTTTTTTTTTTTCAGGATCCGGGCTGCACTTCACAGGATAACCACATCAAGCTGGGATATTGCGCAATTTATGGGCACCCCTCGTCGCTGGAGTTTGTCGGCAGGTAAGTCATCATTGCAGATTGTAACTGGTATTTTGATGCTTATAGCTTTTTCCATTTACAGGCTTATGTTAGCCCAGCGCCATAGCATGACATCAGGGAGGCGTAAACACCCGAAGGCGAGGCTGCAGTCCTTGGGCCAAATGTGTTTTGCAGATCAAGGGCGTCTGCATCCTTCAGGCAAGGCAAGCATCGTGATGTAGGCATATATACCAAGGATGGCCTTCACAGCTGTGTAAGGTCGGGTTAGTCTATAAAGAAATGATATTTATAGTAGTTATGGTTTATATTTGATAATGGTCCCATTGGGTTTCGTCTCGCATTTGTAGTGACTACAACCAGGCCAGGTTGAAGACTCCATCTATGGTTACGTCTATGCAGATGTGCACTGGGAGTACGCGTTCCAGTCCGATTGTAGGCTGCAAAGGGCAGTCCATGTGGGTCAGCCAGGGCTTCTACTCCAGTTCTCGGCCAGTGCAATAGGGACGGCACGCTTTCACCTAGCAATCTCTGATAGTGTCGCCTTGGGCGCCTGGTCATTTGGGTGAGTTGCTGCCGCTTTTTTGTGCCGTCTCAAGAAGCTTGCATCACTGTCACATGCAATTCTCCTGTGCAGCGCCATCTGGATATTTCTCGCTGTCATGGTCCAGCATATTAGCAATACATTGATATGTATGTATTTGCAAGAACGCTGTGTGTGCTTCTGTGGTGAGTTTACATGTATTCGAGGAGCTGTAGTCAATGTTCTTCGCTGCTCTATGGCAGTGTCTGCATCCAGTTCCTGTTCCAGTCTAATCGTTATTCTTTCCAGTCCTTCGTCAAGTAGCAGGTCCTGCAAAGCGACCTGTAGTTTCTGTGGACACATGGCCTGTGGCTGCAACGAGTATGGAGCAGTTTCTGGGATGGTCGCTATTTGTTGCAGTGGTCTATCATTGGATATGGAGTCTGGCTCAGCTGTTGTCACTTCAGCTTGTGCTTCTATCCTCGCAGCCCATGTAGTCGTTGACAGTGCTATTATTGTCTCAATACGCGGCTCCCTCGATGTAGTCAGGGACTATTATTCGTTGTATGGAGAGAGGTTGGCCCTGTATCCGTTGAACTACTTGTTCTCTGGTGAGCTGTCCACTCCAGTATTTACGTTTCAATGTGTTTATAATGGACTCGCAGAATCTGGTTGGCGGTCGCATCTTGCGCTCTTTCACACGTCTTGCCTGTTCCAGCGCCCGTCTCTCAGATTCCTCTCGCTCGCGATCTTCCTCCTGGATGCGCAGTAATGTTGGGAGGTCTTCTCTGGGTTCCTGTTTGTATGCCTTGACAGAACACACATTAATGATCTCTTATTCCCTTTCCTCTCATTCATATTAGCTGTCCAGCAGCTAGATGAAGAGGAAAAGAGAAAATAGAGATGCTCTTTATTCATACAATACTTTGACAATAGTATTTTCTTAGAATTAAAATTGCGCCTAAAAGATACTTTAAAAAATATACATTCGGTCGATATTTAGCGAAACTATGATTAGTTTAAATGGCCACAAGTGCAACAAAAGATAGCAGTGCACCATTGTGATATATGTGTACGTATAAAAGAGCAGATGACATTGATATGCTTAAATTGCTAGTTGTAAACTAATGAGTAAGATAGAGTATAAGTATTATAGATATATATATATAAGTAGTAATAATTAATATAATTCAAATATAAGTAGTATAAATATGTAATTAGAGATAATTAATATAATTAAATTCATATACAGCTGCATCTATGAGATGCGCAGATCAATTAGCTGCCATAATGCCGCCATTCAATTGAATGAGAAAATTCAAGACAAAGTCTAGTCATTTTCCCTTATAGGTTGTTTAAGCTAAATATAGTATTAGTAGTATAAGAGTAATATAATTAATAGTAATAGTTGTTTTCATTTCAATATTTGATTTTCAATAGGTTTTTCATTTCATTTTAGCATATTTAATTTAGTTAAAATTTATTAAATACATCGTAAGTGCGATCGTGAAAGTGATTGTGCATCCCTGTCTATCGATATGCAAAGACAAAACATATGTTTGAAAAGCATATGATGAAAAGGCAGAGTGCAATTAATTGCAAAAGTTGCAACTGAAAGAGATAAGTATGGATTCTAATAAGAATACTGAGATAATTATTAATAATTAGATATTAATTAATAAATTATTCGTCTGTTTCAGCAATTTCTCCCAAGTGCAAGTGAACGTGTGTTCGACAGGCCGAAGAAGTGAGTAATGTTAATTATACATATATGTATATAAGTGTTTATACTTAATGTTGTTTTGTTTTTATTTGCAGGGAATCATCCGGTGGAACGAGAGGTAGCAGCTGAGAAGACTCCACATCCCAATCACCGAGCAGTGCCGCCAGTTTTGTTAAGTTGATTGTGTAGTTTAAGCCAGTGCATTGTAGTGTTGTTTTGCTGCATGTGTGTATGTGCATACGTGCCAAATAAAACTTTTAATTGAATATAAAATTCAATTTGAGTTTTATTTGTTAGGATATCCTTTGCAGATAGGATATGTGAGGACGACCAGTTTCCAGGTAAGTTGCTTGCATATACCAATGGCCAATTTGAATTTTAATGTAGATTAATGTTCTTTTTTAGCGTATATGCTTGCAATCAGTTGCTGGGGAAGGACCAGCCTGCATCGGCCGAAGAATCTCCTGGATTTGTGTTGTGTGTGCGCAAAGTGCTCGCTGTGGGTGGCAGTGGCGCCAGTTGTCGAAAGATTGGCAGGCGCGACTGCGAGGCAGTAGCGTCGCCTATATTTTGTGTCGCCCCAGAGGTGGGGGTGTGTGGGACTGCGTCATACGATGGCGCGCCGTTGCGACGAGCCTCGTTTCTGCGTCGCGCTGCCATTCTGCGAAGATTTTCGCTGGAGTTGCGGGTTGAGGCCGGATATGACCTCGTGAACCTCTCTGCTAAAATGTTGCGGCTGTGCTCGCGTAAAGTTATCGGGCCGTATACGGGCGGATGTCGGCGAAGATAATTAGCGTGTAGCTCCTCGTCGAACTCCGCTTGTCTTCGCTGCTGTCGCTGTGCGCGCAACTCGATTTCATTAGCCAGGTGAGTATTGACGAGGCTAGAGTATCTGGGCATAGTTAGCCGCTGTGGTACAAACGGATAGTGGGCTATGCTTCTAGCCTCATTGTTGCTGTGTACTCGCAGTCTATCATAATATTTAGTGCAAATATTATTAAATAATTCATCCACAGATAAAACGCCCAGCTCAGATCTGATGCGAGCATTTGAAATATAATATTGAGCGCCAGATATGGTTCTCAGTGCTCTGTTGTGTGCAACTCTGATGCGGTCGAACTGAGTTTCGGATAGGAGCGCACCCCAGACAGGTATAGTATATTGCCACAGTGGTGCAACTAGTTGTTTGTAAATTATCGTTTTAGTTTTTAGAGACAATTTACTATTTTTATTAATCAGCCAATCTATCTTTTTCAGCCGTGCCCTAATCCTCGAGACGACAGTGGTGACATGAGTGCCGAAGTGCAGCTTTGTGTCCATAGTGACACCCAAATAAGGATGTGAAGTGCCGTTTCTGTTTGTATGCCTTGACAGAACACACATTAATGATCTCATATTCCCTTTCGTCTCATTCATATTAGCTGTCCAGCAGCTAGATGAAGAGGAAAAGAGAAAATAGAGATGCTCTTTATTCATACAATACTTTGACAATAGTATTTTCTTAGAATTAAAATTGCGCCTAAAAGATACTTTAAAAAATATACATTCGGTCGATATTTAGCGAAACTATGATTAGTTTAAATGGCCACAAGCGCAACAAAAGATAGCAGTGCACCATTGTGATATATGTGTACGTATAAAAGAGCAGATCAGAAGTAGATGACATTGATATGCTTAAATTGCTAGTTGTAAACTAATGAGTAAGATAGAGTATAAGTATTACAGATATACATATATATATATAAGTAGTAATAATTAATATAATTCAAATATAAGTAGTATAAATATGTAAGTAGAGATAATTAATATAATTAAATTCATTTACAGCTGCATCTATGAGATGCGCAGATCAATTAGCTGCCATAATGCCGCCATTCAATTGAATGAGAAAATTCAAGACAAAGTCTAGTCATTTTCCCCATAGGTTGTTTAAGCTAAATATAGTATTAGTAGTATAAGAGTAATATAATTAATAGTAATAGTTGTCTTCATTTCAATATTTGATTTTCAATAGGTTTTTCATTTCATTTTAGCATATTTAATTTAGTTAAAATTGATTAGATACATCGCAAGTGCGATCGTGAAAGTGATTGTGCATCCCTGTCTATCGATATGCAAAGACAAAACATATGTTTGAAAAGCATATGGTGCGAAAAGTGAAGTGCATTAATTGCAAAATTGCAACTGGAAAGTATAGTTTCTAATAAGAATACTAATAAAATCATTAATAATTGAATATTAATTAATTCCTTGTTTTTACAAATTGCAGCAGCTTACTACCAAGTACAAGAGAGTATGTGCACTACAAGGCAGAGATGTGTGTGAAAGCAAGCTAACTGCAAGGTTATGTTAATTATGCAAATGTAAATAAAAGTGTTGATACTTAATATTTTTTGTTTTTCTTTGCAGTATATCATCCAGTGGTACAAGAAGAAGTAGCTGAGAAGACTCCGCGCCCCAAACATCGAGTAGTGCCGCTAGTTTAGTTAAGTGCGTTTGTGTTGAAATTAGTCAGTGCACTGTAGTATTTGTTTACTGCATATATGCCTATACATGCAAAATAAAACTTTAATTGAATATAAATATCCAATTTGAGTTTTATTTGCTAGAATACCCTTTATAGGATATGTGCAGTCGATCCAATTTACAGGTGAGTTGTTGCATATACTGATGGCCAATTTGAATTCTAATTGAATTGCATATTCTTTTTTAGCGTATATGCTGCAATCAGTTGCTTGGAGACGACCCGCTTTGCTCAGCCGGAGTTTTTTTTTTTTTTTTTTTTTTTTTTTTTTTTTTTTGTTGAATAGTCACGTCTGCTCGAGGCTGTGCCGTAGACTGACTGACTATATTTATTTATTTACTGCTATACTACTGTATAATATAGTAAATTTGTTGACGCCTACTGTGTGTAGGTCTCAAATGTGAGTGTTACATTAAATGTGAAGTGACATACAAAAGTAGTTTGATTAATTTTGTGTAAATTTGTTGACGCCTACTGTGTGTAGATCTCAAATGTGAGTGTTACATTAGATGTGAAGTGACATACAAAAGTAGTTTGATTAATTTTGTGTGAATTTGTTGACGCCTACTGTGTGTAGATCTCAAATGTGAGTGTTACATTAAATGTGAAGTGAAATACAAAAGTAGTTTGATTATGTTTTAGTGAATGTATAGATATCTTGATTAAGAATTGCATCCGGCCAGGAAACGTCATCTCTTCCGGGACTGGCATCCTGTTTGGGATTCTGTATGGAAGAACCAGTATTTTAACTGGAGCCAGGATCCTGTCTGGAACCGTCGATTTGAATAAGATTGACATCTCGACTAGAGCCAATATTTCGACTGGGAATGGAATTTTGTCTGGAGCCATCGACCTGATTGAAACCATTATTTTGACTGGAGCCAGTATCTTGCCTGAAACTATCGTCCCGCCTAAAACTGATATTCTGATATGAGTTGAAGTTCCGATTTAAGTTAACAGGATGATTAAAAGTAGAAACTGCATTTTTAGAAGGGATAGTAGCAACATATATGCAACCATGTGCCCGTCTCTGCTTGGCCTGTAATAGTTCCCATTTCCGCTTAAATATGTTTGATTGCAAGTGATTGTTGAGCATCACGGAGTAACGCTTCCACTTCAGCCGTTGCGGAATGCACGGGTAGTTACCAATTCGTCTTGCCTCAGGATTGGGATGAGCAAGAAGCCGGCTCACATATTTATAACACAGTTTATTATAGATGCTTTCAACAGTGTCTACTTGCAGATCTATATGAAGTGTGTTATTACTGACATACCACGGTGCACCTGTTATTTCTCTAAGTATTTTATTTTGTGCTACTTGCAGCTTATTAAATCTGGTCTCGCATATCAGCGCGCCCCATATAGGAAGAGCATATTGCCAAATCGGCGCAATAAGCAGCTTATATAGTAATATTTTAAGTTTTAGTGGCAGCTTACTTCTAGCTCCAATTATCCACTTTAACTCTTTAGTTCTCGTTCTAAGCTTGCCAATTATATTATTAATATGAGTTTTTAACAACAGTTTGTTATCCAGCTGTATGCCCAAATATCTATGGCTAGTTTTGTTGTCAATATTATTACCCGCAATTGTGACAACACTTTGATGATCATATTGTACTTGTCGAATTGAATGTATCACATGAACTGTTTTGGAATAGTTGAGTTTGATACACCATTTTTTGGTCCATTCGTGAAATGTGTTGAGATAATGATTAAGGTGTTGTACAGCATGTGTCAAACTAATATTGCTCGAGAGAATTGCAGTGTCATCAGCATATGTTCCTAGCATCATGCGTGCAGTTGGACGTCGAGCGCTGGATATGGCTGGTAGTGGCATGTCCGCAGTGTAGAAATTATACAGAATTGGGCTCAAAACGCCTCCTTGTGGAACACCAGCAGCGATTTGTTTAACACTTGATCGTGTGCCATCGAAACACTCCACTATAAATGTACGATTTTTGAGATAACTATGTAGGATGTTAAATAGTACATTTGGTAGTAACTTCTTTAGCTTGTATAGAAGCCCTGGGTGCCAGACACGATCAAAAGCTTCAGAAATGTCCAGATAGACGGCTGAGCAGAAATAATTATCTTCAAAAGCTTCCATAATGAATTGAGTGACACGACCAAGTTGCTGTTCTGTGGAATGCCGACTACGAAAGCCAAATTGGTGATCAGGCATTGCCTTACAAAACGCCTCCACCTCAAATAGCCTATTCATAATTAACTTCTCAAGGATTTTGGATAGCCCTGAGAGTAAGCTGATTGGCCTGTAGGAAGTCAGCTCATGGGCTGGCTTACCAGGTTTAACTATCATTCTGACTCTTGCGCATTTCCATCGGCTGGGAAAGTGTCCAAATCTGAGCGCACTGTTGAATATAAGAGTTAAATACAGCAGTGCCTTTAGAGGAAGTGCTTTGAGTGTCCAGTTATCAATGAAGTCTAACCCAGGAGACTTCTTAATTTGAAGATCATTGATTATGGTCATAACTTCCTGAACAAGTATAGGTCGAAATTGCACAGGAGGCAAGCTACCACTGTCTAAATCTGGCAAGCATTGAGATTCAATGTCCTCTTTATCCTCTTGACTGCAGGTTATGTTAGGCCGGAACCGTCCTTCAAGATGAAGAGCAAAAGATTCTGCTTTCTCCTCAGAGGTTTTACACCAAATGGCATGTCTTTCGTTCACAGCTGTGTGATCTACATCAACAAATCTTTTAAGCGGTAAGTCAGTAATCGGTTGCTTTTTTACCAAATTTGTGACTCGCCATAACTTCTTCATGCAATATCTATCGTTAGGATCAATATGATTGATTAACCTATCTATATTTCTGTTTTTAGCTTCCTTAATGGCAATTTTGATTGCTCTGGTCAATCTGTTGAGCACCAGTTTAGCAGCCCGATCACGATGATTTTTCAGGTATCTTTTTATAAGTTTCCTTCCCTTAATCATAACTAGGACATAATAGCTTAATTTGGTGCCGTTGTTGCTAATGTGCCCACGGTCATGCCTAGTATTGGGAATCATATTAGCTGCATGCATAGCAGCGTCAATGACATTTTGCTCAAATATTGCAGCAGCATCTTCAACATCTTCACTATTCTTGATTTCAGTATTTAGCAGAATGCAATCATTTAATCTTTTTTGAAACGTTGGAATATTAGCATTCTTCGGAAGAAGATAGCTGCCCATTCTTCTGTTTACGATCTGTGTCTTGTCCAGAGCTAATTTTATCAAGAGCGGTAGATGATCAGATATTAATTCATCTGCGCCGGCAACTTGTATACTTAACAAATCAGAATTAATTCCTGCATAAATGGCAAAGTCAATAGCAGATGGTGATGATCGCATATCATACGGGAAATGAGTTGACGAGCCTGTAGCCAGTAGATTATATTTACTCTCTTGAATAACTTTTAGCAAAGTACTTCCTCTAGTACATGATCTAGCATTACCCCACCAGCTACTTTTTGCATTCCAATCACCAGCTGTAAGGAATCTGTTGCCATTACTTTGTAAAAGGTTAGTGAAATCGTCATATTGCCAGGATAGTTGAGGTGGACAATACAAAGAGGACAAATTAAATTGAAAATTATTTGGCAGAAAGATAGTGGCTGTAACGCATTGAACAAGCTCAGTATTGACTTTCACAGATGGGTTGTGTCGAATACCATGTTTAATAATTAAGGCAGCTCCTCCTTTACGTCGATTTGATAAATGATTTGCTAAGTAAGTATGATATCCATTTATCTTGAGTAAGTCATTACTATTTAGTCGTGTTTCTGAAAGTAATATAATATCAATATCATTATGCTTGACGTATTCAATTAAATTTCCCAGTTTGTTATGTAGGCCAGCTGCATTCCATACCAGAATTCTTAATGAGTTACAGTGTACAGTAGAACTATTCATTAATAGATGTGTCATTGACATGCTTTGCCATCATGCATCTAGTTAGCATGGTAAGCATAGTGACTAGATTATCCAATTTTGCATTGAGTTTTTCAAGGTTGCTGTTATCTACAGGATTTGGCCGCTTACGATCATCAAGCATTAAGCTGATCAATGTGTCCAATTTATCATTTAATGATTTGATATCATTATCATTATTGACAGTTAACCGAACGTTACTACGGCTACGATTTCTGAGTCTTTGACTGGCATGATGATCATCAACATGTTCTTGACTATCATTTAATCGCCGAGGTAGCCGCTGTTCCCGATTATTCGAAACTAAAGGCAATGGCTTGATCTGTTGCTGACGCTGCACTAGCCGCTGACCAGGAATACGTTGCAGTTGATCCCGTTGCACGCCCATTTTCAGCGCATCAGCATAACTAGACCCTTCTTGGACACCAGTGATCTTTTTGCTTACCTGCTGTTTTGCTTGCCCCAGTAAGTCTCCAGTTTTCTTTGATGGCTCATGAGTATGCTTTTGTTTCTGTAACTGAGCTTCATGACTTCTGAGCACTTGCTGTATAGATTGCTTTGGCGATTGAGCAGAATTGCTTGGCTTCGACTTGGTAATATGCTTATTTACCACTTTAGCGATAGCAGCATTATTGCCAACGATATTTTGACGTAACAAATCAACTACAAGTTTATTTGCTTGCTGCGTTTTTGAAGATTCTTTGATCTTGCAAGCTTCCTTAAAGGACTTGCAACCTTTATAGCTGGCGACATGCTCTCCAAGGCAATTCGCACACTTTGGCGGTTGGCTCAAGCTGCCTTTCTGACGTGGACAATCCGTTGAAGGATGATTCATACCACACTTTACACAAACAAAAGGTCTGCGGCAATAGTTTTTAGTGTGTCCAAACTTTTGACAACGATGACATTGCACAGCATCTATGTTATGCAGTGATTTCTCTATCTTGACCTTCTGATGGCCCAGCAAGGTAGTATCCAATATACCACTATTGTTGGGTTTAGACTCAATTTCAACTTCAAATAAGTCAAGTGGCTGACCAGAGAACCTTTTTTTGATGTTATTTGCATATCGAACTGTATGCCCCAGTTTAGCAAGCTCCTCTTTGATCCACTCAATTGGTGTACTTCGA